CCATCTCCGAGAGGCAGAGAAGGAGCGCCGAGCTGCTGGAAAAAGGGGTGATAAAGGTGAAAGCCGAGGCTCAGGCCAAGCTGCGCCGAAACCCAAGGCCATGCCGAAGGTGATTGAACGGATGGTCGACGTATTTCCGGAGCTGGCGGATCCAGAGCCGCCGAAGTGGTTCGTTGATGTGTCATGGAGTATCTGCCGGCGCGGAACTCCAGTGGATGAGCTAGAGCTCAAGGACGTGGTAGGCACGCTATCCGACAAGGATATGGTGCGCTATCAAAGCTCATACGAGAAGCTGGTGAAGCCCATCCAGGAGGTGTGTGAGCTACAGGAGAAACCCACGAAGATCTTCGGAATCTTGGATGTCCGTGGACAGATTGGTGGCAAGGCCATCATCTGGGAGATGGCAGTGAATGAAGGAGGACTGTACATGGAAGTACCGCCGGGAACGTGTGGCCTGGCGATGTTGAGCTTCGTGAGGTACTTGAAGAGAAAAGGGATAGTCCCTGTTTTGCTTCTGGGTGAGCACCAGGACCTCGGAGTCTTGCGGATGGTGGATCTGTTGTGCATGCTACCCATTTTGGGAGCAGAGAGGATCATGGAGGATGAAGCTGAGAGCTCGTATTATCCCCCATGGGTGTTGCGCTGGAAGAGAAGTGCAAAGGAAGGATCCTTGGTGTTTAAGGAACTGGTGGAGCGAGTGCGAGTGATTTCGATGTTGTCGTGTGATACACTTCGGATTCACGAGCCGGAGCTGAGGGAGAGACCAGTCCCCAAGTGGTCGTTTGTGGCCTACAGCCACTACAGATCCGTGATGGAGTCTGTTGCAGGATTCTTGGAGGACCTGGAGAAAAAGAAAGAGGAGATCACCGACACGCAGAGGGCGGCAAGCTGGAAGAAGGTGGTTGCGAGTGAGACTCGAAGCGGTGTTGTGTGGATCTGCAAGTGTAAGTGGCACTTGCCGACCGACTATGTGGTGAGGTTCAACTTGACGTTGCCTGCCGACATGTGGCAGCAAGCCTTTGGGATCATGGGTGAGAATGTTGGGAAACTCGAGAAGGAGGAAAAGGACCTGAAGCGGATCCTCAAGGCTGCAGCGGAACAGCAAGACCGAGAGTTCGAGGAAGCTGAGCGAAAGCGCAAGCGCATCGCCGACCTGTCAGCTGCCGAGGAAGAAGCTGCTAAGAGAGCAAAGCTGGAAGGCGAAGCGGTTCGCTCGCCTGTGTCAGTTGTACCATCTGAGTTGGATGCAGCAGCTATCGCGCAGATTGCTGAGCGTGTGAAGGCAAGCTTTAGTGTTGCCGATTTGGAGCTGATGTTGGAAGAGAAGAAGAGAAAGGTTGGAGACCAGCCAACTGAGAGGCCTGCGGAGACGCCAGCTGAGCCTAGCCGATCTTCGCAGGAGGTGATGATGGAAACGAGGACGGCTGAGTTGGCGGAGATGAAGGAAGCCGCCAAGGAGCGCCGCGCCAAGTTGATGGAGTCAACTGGAGCTGGCGAGAAGAAGGGCGAAGAGGATGAAGAATGAACTGAGATGCTAAGTGATCTCAGTGGTTGGGTGGGTGAGTGAAACCCGCAGCCATTTTTTTGGAAGCCATGGCCGCGTTGCCGCCATGGAGCGCCCGCGATTTTTCTGGTTAGTGTGAGCCCTTGTTTCAGTGCATGAGAAGTTTGCAAAGAGGAGGCAAAATGATGATGAAACTCAACGAGGGACTCTATAGCCCCTTCTGCAAGGCGTCTGATTGCCACCTCTGAAGACGTTTTTGGCTGATGGTACGCTGGAAGAAGCGAAACTATGAAGCCAATCTTTTCCTGAAGGATCAGCTAGCCGATGCTAGTTGGTGAGTTTGGTGACCTGGAAGATGCGAGACTGAGGAGGAGTACCACGACAAGGTCGAGTGCTGAGTGGGAAACATCTGAAGCTTGCATTAATTCGTTTTCACGTGTTTGTCACCACGAACTCTTGGATTCGTTCCAAGACAACCCTGCCCCAGTGCAGGTGGATGCAAGTTTAATTCGTTTTTCACGTGTTTGGACAACGAACTCTTGGGTTACCAGTGATGTGGACCCAGGACAACCTGCCTGATGGTGGGATCTTGCATGAGTTTTAAGTTTGATGTCAGAGATCGACTGGTGTGTTGTTTGTTTCGTTTGGTGGCGAGTACGCACCAAGGGAATGTGGCCAGGGCATCCCCTTAGTGTTGAAGTGCCGAGCTGGGCTTGGACTTCAGATCTTTGACATGAACCCTCAGCAAAATGCGGGGGGTGGAAGATTGTGGCTGATCAGTGATGTTTTTGTCATGTTTTGGATCAGCTTGTATAGGTTTGTTTTGCTTCGGAGTGATTGGGAATCCGTGTGATCCCATCCTCGATGGTTTATGCCTCGTTGATTTCCAAGGAAATCATACGAGTGTGTTTTTGCCCAATACGCTATTTAAAGTGAGTGTGCAGTGTGTAGGAACTTCGTTCTGAAGCTGAGTTTAAGCTCACAAGAGAGAATTCGTTTAGTTTGTGCACTTTGTGACTTTTGGCTCAAGTGGCTCTGACTGTGAAAAAGAGAGAGCTGTCCGCACTTGTGTGAGAGGTCAGGGTTCGTGCTTTCAAGGGAAAAGGTACCAGAGGGACCTTCGGTTTTTCACGATCAATGTTTGCCTTTTTGAATGTCGTGCATCATTCTCAACTGACCCAAACTGCTCTGGCTGAGGGTGCAAAATGTTGCTTATGTTGATTTTGTCGTTGTAAACGGGGAAGGTGTTTTTTTTTGTTTCTCATCTTGCTACATTGTCAGGTGCATGTCTTGAAGTTTCAACATGTGCTTTTGAAGTTTGTAGGACATGTATTGTGTATTTTCTTGTTGCTCAAGCTAGGAGAGCTCGGATTTTGTCCCACTTCCAACCCAGGGTGAGTGAAGAACTTGCACGTGATCGAGTCGCATGGTGCGGGTGCCAGGCACCGGTGCTTCATCAAATCATCAAACCGATTTCCCGAGCTCTTGGGCACGAAAAAGAGTGATGACCGAAATCTGAATGCATTTATACATTCAATGGATGCAAGTCTTTCATATCCGTGGAAAGAAGAAGACATTAAGGGCGCGTGTAAAATACTTATAAGGACCCCAAAGTAGTATATTATTAGGGGGCCCGTGCGAAGGTGCGCCCCGGCACCAGGGATCATAAAGACGCTATTTTGGGTTTTTCCTTGGCCTCGCATCTGCTGTTGGCAGTGTTCCCGAATGCCCCATGCCAGTGCAAAGTGCAGAGAATCCCAAAAATTGTTGCCGAACATCCCGCACAGTATCATTGAAGCGCAGTCAAACTCCCGTTAAGATCGAGTGCGCACCTGCAAAGAAGCCCGCAGAGTGTTCAGACGGAATGCCCTGCGGAGGATGCACGGAATATCCCAAATCTCACCCTAGCTACGCTCAAGAAGCGTTAACCAAAAAGAGGAACGAGCAACTTTTGGTTTTTGTCTCAAGCAAGAGTGGCAAATGACAAGAACAAAACCCAAAGCAACCAAACCCTGGAAGCTTAACTTCAAACCCTTGAGCTCTACGCTGTCAACCCTAAACAATTCCAACCTTGAGTCCGAAACCTTAAGTAAGCAATAACGCTACACTCTACACTCGCTGTGTCGCCGGTTCAGTGGCCAGCTCAGTGGGGCTTAAGCTGGTAGTCGTGCCTCCTTCCCCCACCACCACCCTGGATGTACGCTAAAGATGATGTACATCGATATACACCACCAGCCCGGCTCTGCATGTGCAAGTGTTCGCAACAAAAATGTTTTATGCATCGTCGCTTGTCATTTTTGGAGACTTGGCGGTTGGCGCCGTGCAAGTTGTAGGCTTAGGCTGGCTTGTTGGTGCTTCTGGCAACTTGCTGCTGTTTACCGTTGCTTCTCACTGCAAGCCACAAAGAAATTCCGGGAAACATCTGTTCCCATGTGCATCGCATGCCGCCATGACCTGAGCATGGCTCGTGCAAAGCAGGGTCTTCAAATGTTGCAGCCGATCAGCGCCCAGGTTGATACGGCGCACGGCCTACTTTGACTACGTTCCAATGTCATTCATGCAGGCCATGTGTGGATCCCTTGAGCTCAACAAAACGAAACCTGGACAAGCAGATGGACCCTGCGTTCCTAGTTTAAATCGTTTCGTGCAGGTTCTTTGGCCTGCCACACTTATCATTCTCACAAGTTCGCAGGCGGGGCACTGTGAGATTTCCATGAGCCGTGGAGAAACGACATGTGTATCGGGTATCGTTGTCAATTTTGTCAATTTTAATTGGCGCTTGCTATCTAGGTAGCTCAAGCAGATGGTTCAGCTCTCAGTCATTGGTGCAGCTTCAAACTCGCGACAGAACGGTAAGAACCGCAATTAATGTGATCTCGTGATTCCTGCATGTTTTCAGGACTTTTATGTGCATTCCCAGATGTATAGGCCTTGGTGAAGTTTGAGGCTTTCCTTCTTCGTTGGCACCGCTGAGCTTGGTTGGCAAGCATTTCGACCGCCTTGTCAAAGCAACGGACCCCACCAGCCAGGAATGGGTGCGGGTCTCGGTAAGAGGCAGAGTGCAAATACAGCAACAATGAATTGGGGTGCAAGTCATGACTTGTTTGATTGGAGGTGGTGTTCTTTTGTGTCAGTTGGCTTGATGAATGTGAGGACGTGCGTGATGACTTGCTGCTTGTGAAGAGGTGTTGTCTTTGACCATGTCTGATTTGGCAGGACCTACGGGACAGCTTCAGGAGTGTTGCGCGGTGTTTTCGGGCCTGTCGCGCTTGTCGCAGCCCTGTTAACGTTTCTGATTCCGAACTCTTGCATCTTCTATCCCAAGGGCGATGGGCCCAGGACCAAAGTAAAACATGGCAACAATCGCAGCCCCGAGAGCGCCCCAGACATCATGGACATGTTTAGGCACTTTGAAGAAGCAGACACAGTTTGGAGAGGGATCGCATTCCGCATTCCTATCCCATAGCGTTTGCCCCGCACTGTCGCCTGAGAACGGATGGGGTGTGGGTGCACAAAGGCCTGCACTCTCACATCGGCGGTGCAGCGCGTGACCGCTTGCAGCACTTGAATGCACTTGACTGAAGATTTGACAGGCCTCCGGTGTAGCACCAGAAAATGGAGTGGCCTCGACAAGGACCCAATTGTTTGGCATTTGTTGTGTATTGTTTTTTTTTTGTGTGTGTGTGTGTGTGTGTGTGTGTGTGTGTATGTGTGAGATGAAACTAGGTTTATCTTGCGAAAGGCAATCATGTAGCATCGTAGCCCCGAAATCGATCGCTCTTTGGCATGCTGGCTTCATGGCCAGGACGGTTAATGTGGGTGCTCGCTTTTTCGGCGGCCGCCCCTCCCTTGCGGAGCTGCGCAAGCTCAACGTGGCAGGCAAGCAAGCTTTTCATTCCAGTTTCCAACGCCGTAGTGTGCATGTCCCAGGTCCCGATGAGATGGGAGGAGAAAAGAAGGCGAGAGCAACGCGATGCAACGCGGTTCCTGTGCATCTTGCTCGATGAAATGTGTGCACGTCGAGGCATTTGCTGGTGATGCAAAGTCGGGCGCAGGCCTTCGCTCCGGGGCAAGCTGCCTCGATGTGTTGGAAAAACGCCGTTTGACGTGAATAAGTCTTGCGACGCATGATCTTTCTGAGTTTAGCTGTCCGTGTGTTTCGTTCAAGGATCGGTGCTTGTTGCCGTGAGATCACGGCCTTTCAATGAGCGGGAAAAAGCAGCCTCATCGGGGGAGTGCTTGTCCTTCCAGGACATTTGTGAACAGCATCCGCATACCTACCATGTTTCACGTTGCCATGGGGAATTCTTGTCGCTTCGTCTGGTGACTCCTGCCCTTCCCCAAGTGCGCAGCATATCTCCTGCCAGGAGGACACCGGCATGACCCTCCACAGAGAGGATGACAAAGACTACCGCTTTGCCTTTGATTGCGTCATGCGCCCCGAAGTTGCTCAACGTGAGGTGTATGCCCAAAGCTCAGCATGTCTGTAAAGGGTCCTGGCATGATAGGCCGTCAGTCAGAGAGTTCGACATTGGGTGCATTGCACAGGACCGAACAGCCAGACCCCTGCTGCACAAAGTGTTGGAGGGAGCGGGCCTCAGTTCCAAGAGGGGATGGCTCTCCTGAAACAAGCGCACGCTTGCTGCCTTAGGCTACAACGGATGCCTGTTTGCATATGGGCAAACAGGGTCCGGGAAAACCTTCACGATGCAGGGGTCTTCGGACCAGAAAGGGATCATCCCCACTCTTTGTTCTGAGCTCTTCAGCGAGATCAAGGCCTGGGTCTCAGTTTTTTGGCTTTTGTTTCGGGATTGCAAGAGCTGATTTTGCGTGTGGGAATTGATAAAAAGGTTACTGTTCCATGCGAGGACTGCGCCGAGAAGCGGCACATCACCGTGGTGTGCAGTGTGCTTGAGATCTACAACGAGAAGGTGAGAGGGATGTTCCGAAAGAGCTACTAAGCAAGCTAAAGCAAGCTGATGTATTAATATTATTTTTAATATTATTATGATTATGATTATTATGATTATAATTATGATTATGATTTATTATTATTTTTGGCACATGAAAAGGTGAGGGACCTTTCCGTGGACTCCAGTGATGACCTCCCCATCCGGGAGGACAGCACGGAAGGCCGGACTGCCACTCACCGAAGCCTGGTACCTCACCACCTTGCCGTTGAGGTGGGAAGGGCATTCACGTCGAAGGCCTGACAGAGGTGCAGGCCAGCTTGGGTACAGACACACGGAGAAGAGAGTGACCCAAGGGAGCAGCATGCGCAAGCAGTTTACGATGAAGCATGATGGTTTGAACCTGTTTGGGTGTCAGTGTGCTAAGAGTATCGGAAGCCCGTGCGTGAATGCCTCTGCTTGCCTAACTCGGGACAGGTTCGAAGCTGTGAGGAGGTGCTGGATTGCATCGCAAAGGCCTTTTCATCCGTTCCCTGTCCCACCCTGTACCAACTTCATACGGAGCGTACTTTTCGCGAAGTGTTACAGACTCGAAAAGCCCCATGACCGAAAGAGATGGGCACTTTCAATCGGCAGGCGCAGCAGAGGAGAGCCGTGGGGAAGACCAACATGAACGAACACAGCTCGAGACGCCCGGTTGCAGGAAGAATCCGTAAGTGCGGCAAATCTTATCGACCACCGCAAACCGGCCAAAAAGCACCCCACAACCCTACAAAAAGTACCCCTCAACCCACCTAGATCCCCTGAAGCCTTGATCCTCAGCTCCAGGATCCCACTCCGTGGTGACGCTGCGGATAGGTGCCTACGACTGTGACGACGTGGATGGTGCAACGCCCCTGAACAGCATTTCCCTCCTCGAACGCCTGCAGAATCATGTGGGTTTACGATAATCGGGGTACCTTTTTGGGGTACTTTTCATAAGGGGATCCTACTATTCGGAGTCTATATTAGGGGTCCCCCGTTATCGTAAACCCCCATGTTTAAAGGAGACTTTCATTCACTTGCAAGGTTCGGTGTGGCTCCTCCGAGAGCTTTTGCCCGTAATGCAGTGCCAATCTTGTGGCCGCAGCGTAAGGGCAAGGTCATACATGTCTTGCGGAAGTTTAAGAAAGCTCCCCCACATCCGGATCTGTGTCCTGCCGTGGCTTTAATTCAACCCCGAAACCCTGAGAATGTAGGGTTTAGGATTTAGGGTTTAGGGTTTAGGGCTTAGGGTTTACGGTTACCCGAAATCCTACACCCTAAATAGGGTGCATGGGGTTTAGGGGTTTATGATCTTCAGGGCTGAGGTTTTCGAAGAGAGAATGCCAAGCTTTCGGTTCCTAGGGGCGTGTACTGTACTGTACTGTACCCTGAATAGGTTATAAAGGCTATACCCAACATCCTTATTGCGTAGGGGTACCCCGCACCCTAAAGCAAAGGGCCCCATCTTTCACCCCGTTTTTGCATAAGGGCGCCGTGCGACATGTTCTTTTCCCGTGCCACCCCCGGACTGGCAGCGCCCCAGTGCAACTCCTACTACACCCTAAGATAGTGCAACTCTTAGTTTAGAAGAACCCGTGGTGCGGCGAAGATGGCTCGACGGGGAAGAGATAGATCTCGTGCGGAACAACTGGTTCAATTCATGTTGAATGTGTTCTATTCTCTAAGCATTGTCGACAGTCACAGGCTGTTGCAGTTTGATTTGGGGCTTCTAGTGTTTGCAAAAAGGCTCTTGCTGGTGATGTGGCCTAAACAGCGAGCACCCAGCCATAAGCCCTAAGCCCTATACCTACACGAGGTTGACAGTCTCCAAGCTGCATCTCATTGACCTGGCGGGCAGCGAGCGGCAAAAGGCCACAGGCGCTTCTTTGGGCTCAAGCGAAGGTTTGTTTGGGTTCGACAGATTATCGCGAAAGCCAGCAGAGCTCGGAGTTGAGGCGGGGGAAGGTGGAAGCAGGGAGATGCTCCCAGCCATTGACTGTATCATGGGATCGGGGCCTCTTTCCTTCCTTCCCGCACGCTTGCCCACGGCATCTCCTTCCACTTGCGTGATAACTTTCGCAAGTGTGCCAGATCAACCAACAGACTGTGCTCCGCATCTACTGGTACATATTCCATCTAATCTCATTGCCATACATGGCCCGCAAAATATTGAACCCACCAAATGGCTGTCCACGTCTGAGCAATGTTGGCAAAGAGTACTGTTCAATGTTCAATCAACTTGATGGTCGCATGGAAGAAGATGTTGGATTGTTTCGAAGGGCCACGTGCGCCCATGCAGAAGGTGTTGAATTTCTCCACACCCAAAGTCCCAAAACCCCAAAAACCCCAAGCCCTAAGACCCGGAGTCACTTCAGTCCCAGGCCACCCAAAGTTCTTTCCAGAGTTGGAATGCTAAGAAATGAAGCTCTTGGCGCTCCCCCTGCAATGCCTCGACAGGGGCTTCTGGAGATCGGCTGAAGGAAGGCAGCGGTTGGGGCGCTTGATGGTTTGGCGTCTCTAACCCTCGATAGCCCTCTCGAACCCTTTAGAACCCTTCAGAACCCTAAACCCTAAACCCTGAACCCTAAACCCTAAACCCTAAACCCCTAACCCCCTAACCCCTTAACCCCTAAACCCGAGGATGGTGAGACGTGTGCGTAGGCGCCCAGATCAACCTGTCGCTGTCCGCCCTGGGGAACGTGATCAACGCCCTGACCGAACGCACTTCCGGAGGAGCGGCTTGAGGGAGTGGTGCCGCCCAACTGCCAGATAGACCTGTTCCAAGTCTAGGTTTGCACTGGGGCTCTGCTGAAGCTTGTGCTCTTCCATTTTTCTCTGTGCAAGAAGGGCAGGAAGAAGGGAGCATGTGTTTCAGCATCCCTTGTGCATGCCTCTGCAGGCCGGCATGTTCCCTACCGGGATTCCAAGCTGACGCGGATGTTGCAAGACTCGCTTGGTGGCAACTCTTACACCGCCTCTTGGGCCGCAGCTGTAGGGTCAAAGCATGGAGAAGCACCAGTAAACGGCTGCTTGGCCATGGTTCGTGAAGTCGTCCACGCTGAAGTGATGATGGCAACGCACAGTGCTGTCCATGAGTATGCTAGTCGCTGTGATGGCTCCTGATAGAGGGTTCTCATCCGACCTATCCCAAGGTCATGATCTGCAACGTCTCGCCTGCGAGAATCAATGCAGACGAGACCCTGTCGAGCTTGCGCTTTGCCGAGCGTGCAAAGAAGATCGAGAACAAGGCGTGTGCTGGAGATTGGACCTGGGTGTCCGTCCGTAGAGAGATCCACATGGAATCTTATGGATGTCGGCATGTAGTATGATCAGAAATAAAGATGAAAACTAGTCGAAATGTATTCCTGTATAACCAAAATCATGTTTAATTATTTACATATGCAGTCATACATATCTGTCTTAGTTCCCATGAAGCCTCTTATTTGGGGAGCTTCCCTGTTGCAATGCCCCTTGTGCAGAACGTTCTTTACTGTTACGTTCTTTACGCGGCATCGCGGCGCGTAGGGCAGCGTGGCCCTGGAAGTTGGAACCATGGCAGGCAGTGGTGAATCGCGACCCGAAGGGTGAGCGAATCCTTGAGTTGCTGCAAGAGAATAAGGCAGGGCTTCTCCGAGCTCCAAGAAAATGTTGCCCTTCTGACGCTCCGTCAGAAGTAGTGTTTTTGAAGTCTGGGATGCAGGCTCTTCGGGCGAAGATTGCTCGCCTGGAGGCGCATGTTGATCGACCCTCAGCCGCACAAAGCAAGTAGTTCCTCCGGCTTGATTTCAAGCTAGCTCTGCTAACTGCGGACGCTCTAGCTTGGGATTGGATCTTTGGAAAATCGTGGTACTGCCCGCGCCCGAGGACTGGAAATGCACTACGACAAGTGAGCATCCGGGTGTGTCCCTTTCACTGTTTTTTTCTTTGATTTTGGCTCGTGGTCAGCAAGCACCACAAGCATACCTCAAGAATTTGGCAGCACGACTGAGCATCGGGGGCTCCGACGGCCCCACGTAGCTCCACATGACCCGGATGCACTGTCAAAGTGCTCGGGTGGGAATCACTGCATCTCAACAAGATTCCAACGTATTCCAGCAATATTCTGACCTTTTGCTACCCAGGATCATCCATTGACACAGTTCCTTTCACTCTGGATGAGTCTCCACCCAACAGTGCATCCCAGCTCCGGCCCCTCAGCCGCGTCTGAGTCGGCCCAGTCGATAACGAACTCTTCTCGATCCTGCATGGGATCGAGGCTCCCGGAGCCCTGGCTTTTCAACCTCTAAGTTGGGCGAGTTGGGCTCAGGGCGACGTGTGCCTCTGTCGCCAAGTGTGACTCAACAACACATCTCACAGCGCTGTGCATGTCCGTGTCCGGTTGTGTTCAGGGGAAGCTCTCTCTTTTTTTTGTGGCACCTTGCGTCTTCTTCAGGAGACACGGCAACATCCTGAATGGGAAGTTGAACAGGGACGAAACCTTCTTGCCTCGCGTGCGCTTCGCGGAGGCCGGGATGCGAGGGTGTGGTTCCCTGTAACTTTTCAAGAAGGTTGGAACTTGCAGGTGGATTGCGCCGAGGACAAGGTGCTCTGCAATCGGGAGCAGGCAGGAATTTGTCTCACCGCACTTTTCCTTGCAGGGACTTGGAGGTTACCCGCTCACCTGTCCCGCACCTGTCCTGCACTCGTAGCATTGCTTCATCGTGCTTAGCTCCGCTCCTCGTGGCCACATAGCAGCGTCCATGGCTCATGATGCGGCGTGGACTCTATGTGGGGTGGCTTGGCCTTGCCTTTGCAGGGTTCCTGGAGTGCGACTGGGATGCGGAGTGGCGGAGCTTCCGTGAGAGGCTGAAACGGAATGCAGCTGCCGGCTACCCGGAGGATGAGGCCTTGGCGGAGCAAGCGGGGTCGCTGTTGCAGGCCAATTGGGAAGCCTTGCAGCCAAAGGAGGAGGCCCTCTATGGCATGTCCCTCGCGATGCAAAGCTTCTTCGCCAGCTGCAACACCCGGCCCGGGACTGTGGAGGAACTCAGGGAGCCCTTCTGTCTCTATGGGGTGGTGTCGGCCCTCTGGGTGTCTGCGCGGCACCATCCCAAGAGCAAGAAGCAGTTCCTTCGGCACGCCCAGTTTTTGCTTGGAGACGTTTTTCGAGGCGCACTGGACTTTATGGAAGGCTCTGGCTGGCCTGTAACATCCCTGGACATCTTGGCCAACTTGGAGCGTGACCAATTCAGGCTTCCACAGCACTTGCGAGGTCAGTATCACTCTCCTTCGAGTGAGCCTCGGCAACCAGATCTTCCACAGGAGCCCATTTTAACTGTTTGGGAGATGGGTGTTCATGCCACGCTGTCTGCTGAGCCTCTGCAGATGTGGGCACGTATCTTGACAAATGTCAAGCTCCGACACCGGAACCTCATTCAAGACCAGTATCCGAAATGGCTTCCAAACCGCTGCGCCACTCTATACCAGCATCCTCGGCTGGTATGCGACGAAGAGAAGGACGAAATTACCGACCTATTCAGGACGCGCATTCCGCACAGTGCTGTCTCCAAGGATCCCATCGAACACATGGAGTCTTTTGAGTCGGACTTTCGACATGTTGCTGCTGGTCGCTTGCGACACGTAAGCCTCTTCCTTTGCACTGTCGCGTATCTTTGCCTTCTGGTCGAGTCCCTTGATGTGCCCACAGTGGGATACTTCGGACATCCGCTTCTCTTCATGGTTCCAGAGGACTCAGCAACACGAGAGTCGTACTGGAGGCGCTTCTCCAGCATGGCCAGGACTGCAAAAAGCACTTCTTTAGCAGAAGGAAAGAAGTGCAGAACATTGTAGGTGCATGTTTATCAGCACCCCAAGAACTGAGATATTGTGTATTCATGCTCGTTCTGGCCCCACCTCCGAATGGTTGAGGTTCAGGATCCTGTTCCCCGACGGTGAGGGGTTCCGGGATGGGGTGGGGGGGTGTGGTGGTTGCATAGGGTCTGGCCCGCCCATGGTGTGTTTAGTGTTTAGGGTAGGTAGGGTAGGTAGGGCAGGCAGGATTTGGGTATGCTACCCCTTGCACCTTGCTTGCCAGGACCAAGTCTGTCGAGTTTGCAGTGAGCGATCCTTTCCTCCAGATGCAGTATGAGTATCAAATTGGTGCTCCGCGTCTGCCGGCCATCCGCACCCATGCGCTCTACACTGGTGCGACCCACTTCCCTCGCCGCTTGGAGGAGGTGCTGGTGCTTGATCGGCCGCACGAGTCCGTGCTCATGTGCCTCCTCCGACGTAGTATGACCGATCTTGCGTCCGGAGATGTAGCTGGAGCGCCTTCTGCCGGAAGCCTCTCGGAGTCCGCATCTTCTGAGGACTGGCCGACCGCGGAAGGCAGGCTGCGGGCGGCCGTCAGCCCAGGCTTTCCCTTCCGTTTTGTGACGCGTGCACTGACCGACAAGCAGTTCAGCACCTTCGCGCAGTTTCGCGCAGTCGTGCTGTGGCCGTATGACATGGACCTTATTACTTTCTACGAGTTCTACAGCATGAATATGCCCATCTTCATGCCCTCCTCCCTGCCCAAGTATCTCTTCCAGCAAGATCATGGGGCCTATGACTATCGCTGGGCTGGAAGAAAGGTGAAGCCTGGGCAGACACCACTGTGGCCCGAGACCACCGCCGAACCCAGTCTCAAAAAGCGCCCCCTAAGAAGCCGATCACCTCCTGAGATTGAATTATCCAGGCCCAAAACTCGGAAGATTAAGTGATTTTGGGGAGAGAGACGATGTAGTGACCAAAGCTTGGATGTAGTGAAGCTCTGGGTGCTAATGGCTAAGCTGAGGCATCACCGTTCCAGGAGAGGTCAATCGAGGCGGTGCATCACATACTGCCCTTCACTGACTACTTCCGGTTCCCGCACGTTATCTACTTCGAGTCAATACCGGACCTGTTGAAGAGGTCTGGTTTCTGTGAAAGCCCTTGCTCCTTAGGCAATCCCAAGCCATAGGCCCTAACCCTTGATCAGGCTGCCTCAGACGAACTGCTTCGAAGTGACGCAGGCAATGGTGCGACACCGAGTGCTGAAGTTGTAGAACATGTAGAGCTTCCGCAAGCATCTTGAGCACAGACGCCTTTTTCAGGGCACAGGGCCTTCCTTGCCTTGTGCCTTCAAGCAGTTTCAGCTCAGGCAAGTTTCAATCAAGATTCGCTGATGCAGACGTCGGCTACTTGGCGGGGTCTGCTAGGACGCGTCAGCGTCCCCATTTCAGTATAGGCTGAGGCGGTGCCCACGCGCGACCGTGATGAGAGATGTTCCGCTTCAGTGGATGCTGACGGTGACGGTTCCGGTATAGACCCTCACAATTGCCTCCTTCACCTGGCATCGTCCGCATCCTACAAGTCATGGCGCAGGTTGCCTCCGTGTTGACCTGCAGTCAGAACGCCCGGAGACCCGCAAAGAGAACTCCTTTTGGCTCGTCGGAGCCAGTCACTTACGCTGGCACCTCTGCCCTGGATCTGCAAAGCCTCGCAAGTCCGTGTCTCGAAGATGATAATTCGTGGTTTCGACCGGGAAGCGCAAAGGTGTGTTTGCTTTCATCTACATGCTTCTGGATGACTTCTGTGACTTCCATGTTCCAGATGTTGGCCGGCGTTGGCCACGCATGCTCAAGCGATGTGATATAATGGAACTCAGGGCGTGAGGGTAGCAGCCGACACACGTACACCTCGCTGGATCTTTGTGCCCTCTCGGCGAGCTTTGTGGCGACGTGGACCGCTTGTCTGTGCTCTCGGTGATGCATCGTTCCAGTCGCGACCAGTTGCAAGGCCACGCCTCCTGACATCTATGCCGTAGGAGCTTCTTTGTTAGCTTGTGACAGGAAGAGCTTGGTCCACGCAAACAAGAAATTGGCGTCAGGTCTGAACTGAGCCTTCATCCCACTTTCCTGGACACGTCGCGACAGCTTCTGTTTGAAGGGTCTCTGCCAACCAGCCAGTTCCATTAGTCCATATTAGTCCTGTCCCATCATGTGCTTGTCAGGTGGAAACATATCCAACAGTCCTGCGCTACGTAAACGGACGGAGGGCGGAGGCCGGGAGTTGCCGCGTTCCCTTGCTCTTCGCACCCTGAAGATCCCTGAGCCCAGGCCCCAGGCAGCTCGAAACCACCCTCACAGCCCATTCAAAGCCCTTAGTCCCCAGCCCAGAATCGCCAAAAACACCGCTTCCCAACCCCCCCACAAACCCAAGCTCTGCAAGTGAACATCTTCGGAAGCTCGGAAAAAGAATCTCGAACACCCGAAGGATGTGTGATTTTTGCGGAGTTTTTTTGGCAGATATTTTGCTTTAACAAGAGGCCTGGGAGGGCAACCTGGGCCGCGCGCAGCAGCTCCTGCAGAAGGCCTTGTGGGGTGACTGCGGAGCTCAGCGAGCTTTTTTTTGGGGAGGGGGCTGGCTCACTGTAGGGGCTGGTGCTCCTTCTCTCTAGCAGACCTGGGGTTCTTGGGCTCATGGCTACGCGAGACGGAGTTCACGTCTTTTGTGCGCTCGCTGTTTGTTTTTGTTTTTTTTTGGGGGTTTTGGGTCAAGGAGTTCCTTTGGAAACTGCTGTGCCTCTGTAAGAGCTGTCTTCAATCGGAACTTGGTGAAACAGAAACAGATTCCTGCAGCGGACGTTGCCTTGTTGGCAGCCTTGGAAAGGAGCTAGCGGGGTGGATGCGAGCTCATCCAGGCTCTGGATGATGCTGCACATCACCTTTCCCCCTCTAGCCCTGCTATCTGTGGTGCATGACTGAGAATCACTTGTGCAGGCAGTGCAGAACCTCAGCAAACTAGGGCAAGGCGGCAGGCAGCGAGCTCTCTGTCGGCGAAGCGAGTTGCTCCAAGAGCCACGAAAGACCGCCAGGCTCAGAACCCTTCTGAGCGTGCAAGCGCTGACCCGGTGCGTCGGGGGACTTGGAAGAGCACGCTCCGCATCACTTCATTCACTTCTCATGTCCCCTTTCGGCGACGCTCTGAAGTGGGGTTTGTCGGATATGTCGCGGTGCATCGTCGCAGGTTCCATAGTCGACGTTGCTGCTGGTGGCCCAGACAGCTGCCGATCACTTTCCCTGCAGTGTTTGCATCCCTCCCAGAACACAACTGGAAGCTCAAAGCTGAGGTCACCCTCGTGCTTCTGGTTGTCTTCGTGAGGATGTGCCTGGACATAACTCGGTCTACCGCCCAGGGATACTGCAAGTTGGAAGTCTGGCCGATGGCCGAGCTTTGACATTGACGTCGTGTGAGGTCTGCCCGGCAAGCGTTACAAGCATCTGCCTCACGGAATGACGAGGAACTGCACTGAAAGCAGAGTTCTCTGTACCCCCCCAAAGGGGATCCGGCAGATGTGCCTGCAGAAAAAATGAGTCATTTTTTGAGTCATGAGGACACCAAGGGATCCTTGACAACAGCCTCTGCCTGCGAGGCCCACCTGCTATGCTGAGTTGCACTGAGACCATGCGCAGACTCCAGGGGTTGTTGCGAGGAGGTGAGCAAGACCCAGCAAGATCCAGCCTGATCGCAGAGTTTTGGCTCCAGAGCTGGTTTTTGAACAGTGATTCTTGCAGTTCTTGCACCGGCAGGCACGAAGTTGCTTGGAGCCTGCCTCCCCTGGAGACTAGCAGAATGACAGAGTGAACTGCCTGAGCAGGCATTTGGAACTCATGGCTCGTGGCCGCTCTTCCCTCACTGCTGTCCTCGCCCTTGCCGCCTTGGTAGCAAAGAGGGTCAAGAGGGTTTCTCTTCAGCGAATGGCTTGTGGCAGTCTTGCGCGTTGAGCTCCTGCAGGTGGTGGCTGCCGTCGTCATTGGCCGCCTGAGCCCATCCTTCGTACCTGCTCCCCAGGCCGTTGCGCGCGTTGAGCTCCAGCAGGCCCGATGTTTTTTCAGGTTAGGTGTATCTTGGATGTCTTGATGTGTCTTTCACGCACCATCCTGCTCCAAACCTTCAAGTGCCCGAAAGCATCGAGGCAACTGGCGCCGTCGTGGCCGCCGGCCTCGCGGCCGTCTCTGCTCCTCAGCCGGCCCTGGCTGCTCGAGCCTCGGACGAGGACGACGAGGCTGGGAACCACCTTCGACGTCAGCCGGGCGAGTCTGGACAGTCAGGGACAGTCAGGGACAGTCAGGGACAGTCAGGGACAGTCAGGGACAGTCAGGGACAGTCATTCAGACTCTGCATGTTGAATCGAAGCTGTCGTGGAGGGCTTCGACGTGCGCATCCTCGCCGTGCTGGCCCTGCCACTGTTCGCCATTTCCTGGGCCCTCTTCAACGCAGCTGAGCTGCAAATTTTCTAGGTGCAGATCTGCTGCGCTGTGATGCGCTGTGCACACTGCAGCCGCAAAATCCATCACAATCCAAATCTACAAATGTTGCGCAAATCATGGGGACCTCCGTCCTCCCCCCGAAGCCCTGGAATGAAATAAAGGATAAAGGAAAGACATAGACCTCAGTGTGCTTAGGGAAGATGATGGCAACTGCCACTCATATCGAACAGGTGTGGCGTGTGGCCTTCCGCCAAGTGGTGCGAATCGGCGAGAGCGCCAAGGAGATCTGTGTGTGTGTGTGTACGAATTGCTGCAGTCAGAGTCTGTGCTGTTGCATGGGAAGTGTCAGTGCTTTAGAACAGTACGGTGTGTGCAGGGCAACTCCTACTGAGAGCGCAGCGCAAGTTCTGGAGATCCGGTCCACAATTTTTGGGTTGTGCTTGCGAAAGCACCCGCAGCGCAAGTGGAGAAGATCCGATTTCCCCAAGCTTCCGAAGGGAGCTTGGCATCCTGCTATGCCGACGTACCGACATGGCAGCACGACTCCGCCAGACTTCACGCAGAGAGGAGGAAGCGGAGCAAAGACTCTTCAAGTTTACGTGGTAGCTTTGCCTGCATCCCTCTCCAGCATATGCCTTGGGTATTATTCCGAAACGGAGACGGAGTTCATTCCACCTTGTCGAGGTTTCGGCGGCCTCCACTCCCTACTGCCGCATGGCTCGGCGGCTGCCGCAGGATTGGGTGCCGGGCTCAGGCTTTTTGGGGATCCGGGGGGCTTACAAGTTCGGAGGAACAAAATGAAAAATGGATAAAAAAAATAGATAGATATATATATATATATGCAACAAATATAAATATAGAATTGGAATTTCTCTAATGTACTTTATGTGGCTATTGGTGTTTCAGGGATGGGTTGAATCACGGTGGATATCCGGCCTGTGTTCAGGGGTCTTGCAGCCTTCGACATAAGTTTCATCCACAGGCAGATGCGTTGCATGGCTTCGCAAGAGGGATTGCGAAGCGTAGACGCCGGCAGAATGGCCTAGACTTCTTCGGCTTGCAACACAGGGCATGAGACATTGTTGAGCCTCATGGGTCGATCACCTAAGCCCGACATCCCTCCAGCGCGGTACGAAGTAGAGTAAGTAGAGCAAGTAGAGTCCAACCCCCTGAGTGCCGATGTGTCACATTTTTATTTTACGTGCAGGCCAAAGCCTTTTCTTGAGTCACGCAAGGTGCGACAGCGATCTGAGATTGTGCTCTGAAGCCGCGTCAAGTCGAAAGACAAAACAGGACAGTGCAAGAAGGATCAGTCGTGCTGCTTTTATTTCCCTGCCTTGCCTTTACAAATAGCAGCGGTAGCACATCGACATCATGCAGAGTAGGCAAGAGGTGAATGAGTTGTTGCTATCCTTGCCATTGTGACCGATCCCTGTCCACGTCGCAGCAGGTCTGACAGCAAGCTCATGCTTGCATGCCTGCTTGAAGTGACATGGAGAGATCGGCTTTGATCGGCTTTGTGCATGGATTTTTGGCATCGTGCTGCTGCAAGGGAGCATGTGGGATGGTTTCGGGACGATCAGCGAGGTTTCTTGCGGCTTATGATGAACGCTTGATAGTCGCAAGGAGGGGATGTGCGCGCTAAGTAAGCAAGGGAGGTCAGCAAGAACAGCTTCCCTCTGCTCCTTCTTGGCTCGGCAAGGTTGCGTCACAGCAAAGACCGCAAATATCATGCTGAGCATGACCGGAAGCTCTCAGAAGCTTTTTTGCATGCGACAACCGAATTGCCGCATGAGGCGCTGTTGACACAAGAACTTCGTTGCCTTAGGCGTCTTGAGTGCGGTGCCATGCCGATCTACGGCTCTTCTGGCATTGCCGGTGCTCGGATGCACCGCAGCCACGTGCCCTGGATGAGTTGTGGTGGAAGGTGCTGGGGGGTGGATGGCAAGGGCGGTCTCTGCTTGAGGGTCTGCGATGTCAAGCGAAGGTCGCTTGTCTGCCCTTCTACTCCAGCTGGAGCCCTCCCTCGTGTCCACCAGAACCTCGGCTTGCGTGCTGTTGCTATTCAGAGTCTCGTGGCGTGTACTGTCAGTATTGTCACCCACTGCAGAGGATCTGGAGCTCTCCCGTGCCGATCAATTTGGAGCTGACAAGGCGGGGAGAAACAGCGAGAGGGCCTCCCAGAAGAAGACGAGATAGCAACGATGTCTTGCAGGAGAGAGGGATGGAGGGAGGGAGGGAACCAAGTCCCACCCCTGCAGTAGTTCGTCGCATTGCACGGGCAAACGTGTCAGCAGGTACCGAACTCCAGGAAGGTCAACGCCATCGTCAATGCAGCTGCATGCTTGTAAAGCTTGTCGGATTTGCGCGACCTTTGACGGTTTCATGCAGTAGCCACGTCAGGAGGAGGGGACACCCCGAAAAGTGCATCAGGCATCAAGGTTCATAACCCGAATGCAGCGCCGTCCGCCAAGCTCAACGAAGCTTCCGAGGCCCTGGACACTTCAGCGACTGCGGGCTTGGGATCAGCCACGTCCCAAGGGCACACCGCTGTTGTCGGCCATAAAGGGAAAGTCGAGAGGGCACTGGCTCCTAGTTCAAATAGCTCAGTCACTTAGTCTCTACCTTTGTTAAATGAATTTCTCTTGAGTCGCAGCCCCGAGGCTTCGACAGCCGCTCGAGGCCCACAGGTGCCAAGCATTCTTGCAGCCGCCAAAAAGGGGTTTTGTTTCACTTGAGCTGCCTCTTCAGATGGGCACCGCGTCTCTGGAATGCGTTGTGCGTGTTCTTGGCACCCCCGAAAGAGGAACCCGAATGTAGAGCAATGCCCTTAGACTCATCACGAAAGCCAGCTCCTTGGAGCTTGTTTAAGTTCCTCTCTATTATCTTGGGCTCTTGAGGTCGCCTCTTCCCCACTCTCACTTGCCGTTGTGTGTCGCTCTCCATGAGACTACTTGAAGGTTCATGGTACTTATTAACCAATGACAACTGTACTGACAACCCCAATTATTAACCATATTAGGGCCCGAGCACTTAAGGGACTTATAAGTGGGTTATACGTACAGCTATAATTGGTGCATACCCTGAACCTCCAAGTAGCTTTCGTGCGCCCTGCTTTGTCTTCGAAGGGCTACCAGCTCTCGGGCTCTGACTTTGCAAAGACGCAGCGCACTGGCTGGCCGCCACCTGCCTGGAGTTGCGGTGTCAGCAATTCTACAGTCCCGAATGCAGCGGATACATCGACATGTATATATATATATACATATATATATATGTGTGTTTATATACCAGAAGACGCGGAGTTACTATTCGAACTTGACTAGAGATGTAGCCCCTCGGGAATGTTCGTCCGCATCTGCGCGGGTATGGAGCCCCAGTCCCCAAACCGTAGCTCTGGCAGGAAAAGTTCCTGTCCTTGGATCTTGGAGTTCGTAACGGTGGGGCCCATTTGTGCATGCCCTGCATCTTCATACATGTTTTGCATTGAACCTTCTTGAGGCATTTGGACCGTGACACGACCGAGCCCTTCCATGGCTTCCACGGAGCTTCGGTGGCATCCTTGTCAGAGCTACTCCGTTCATCCGTAGCCACTGAACCCTTCTGCTTTGGTACTTCGGGGGCTTGAGGGCTTAATAAGGCTTCGAAGCCCTGAGTTATACCCTGCGTGGAATTTCGATCTCTTGCTGCTGTCTCGCCCTTCCGAGGAAGCCCGTTTGCCTTGACACCGAGGACGAAGTGATTTGCTTGCTTCCCTCTTTTTTTTTGGGGGCGGCCGGGGGGGGTTCGTTTCCTTAAGTTTAGAATGATCTGTGCTCTTCCCTGAGGAGGCGGCAGAAGCCGACATTGAACCCGGTGGCCAACTTCGGCAAAACCCATGTTTAGATTTTAGATTCTAGCGTAGATTCTCGAGACCACTCACAAGTGTTTCGCAAGGTTCTTTAGCTGATAGAGCATGGCTGCGGAAGAATCTCCAAGAGATCCTTGTCTGCCGGCTGCATGCTGTGCTTTCGGACTCACTTGCCTCTGGGCAGTGACAGATTTGCCTCGACATCTGAATGCCTGGGAAGCCTTTTGGGGCTGTGCTCTTGCTTTTCCAGGGTAGAGAGGACATTGATCTAGGTCGCCCAGCTCCATTGCGAAGCAGTCTACGCCAATGAGGAGTAAAACAAACCGAGGGGGACCTCTTAGGCTCTTTTGGGGGGGGGGGAAATCCGGGAAAGGGCGTCGGCTGCAGCTTTGGACCGGTCTTCAGAGCCTGCTAGTTGTGCAGTGCCTCGAGGGGGAAAAAAAAGTCGGGAACCGCCTTCGGGGTTGCCTTACGCTGCTCCGTTTCGCTCTCACGTTCCGCCAGCCTCTGGCGCGTACGGGGCAGCGTCAGCTGCAACCAAGTCCCTGCAGCAGATCGTTCCCATCAATTTCTTGCCAACCGTTTTCTTGAGCCGCACGGAATCGACTCTGTTGCCATTCCGATATATGATGACGCCGAATCGCCAAATGAGTGTTTAAGATATATGATGAACCGGCTGAACCGGAATCGCCAAATTGGGGGCGTCGCTAGGCGCCGTGTTCAAGATAGATGATGAAATGGAATCGCCAAATGAGGGGGCGTGGTTAAGATATATGATGAACCGGAATCGCCAAACGAGGGGGGCGCATTCAACATACATGATGAAGTTTAAGATATAGGATGAACCTGAATGGGAGCGTGTTCAAGATATACGATGTGCCGGAATCGCCAAATGAGGGGGCGTGTTCAAGATATATGATGAACTGGAATCGCCAAATGAGGGGGCGTGTTTAACATATATGATGAACCGGAATCGCCAAATGAGGGGGCGTATTTAATATATATATATATATATATGTATATGTGTATATATATGTTTGTATATATATATATATACCATGAACCGGAATGGCCAAATGACGGGGCGTGCTAAAGATATATGATGACTCCGAGTCGCCAAACGAGGGGGGGGGGGGGGGGTGTTTCAGATTGATGATGAACACATCGTTGCTAAGTGATCCGTTGCTAAGTGATCCGAAACGGTGAGGGTCCGATGAGACTAAATGGTCGCCCTGTGCTCCTGATGGGTGAAGTACGGGCATGCTTGTGAAGTCTCTTGAGATGGAAAACACACAGTGCGCCAGAGTCGCGCTGGCTACAATTGAAATGTGGTGTGTTTTGCTTTGCTTGTCGATCGCACGCAAGCCTTGGAAGCATGTGTGCTGCCGCAATGTTCATGCCTCTTGACGCTGTGTCAGTTCAGGTCAGAACACCACCATGTCGAGACTGCATTGAGTGTCCGCTGCAATCTTATTCGCGCGTGTGTGGGTATGGCGTTTCGCTGTGAGAGCGTTGCGTAGGGGCGTCACTTATCCCATTCCATA